TATTCAGTGACGACATCTGCGTTTTCACATCATTGCTGACTGTTGTTTAATTTCCCTCTAGTTACTTGAAGATCAGTAGGAATCTTCTCTTCTGTTAAAAGATGTCTTTGTTGCCCAGAGACTCTTCAGCTCCTTTCTGTTGCCTTCCATCCCATGCTGCCAGTGTCTTGGCTGCAATTTGGGCATTTCAGGGAGCTCTGGTGTCACTTGCCTCATTGCTTGGGTCAATGTGCAGCTCGTGGACCTTCGCCTGACAGCAGAACTCAAAATAGTCAATTTGGAGTTTCTCAATTTCTTACAGAATCCTCTGTGCAATTCAGGGGGCTGGTTTGTGTGTCTGCGAGGCCTGGCACTTATTCCAGTAGACCTTGATCATCCAGGAGTGAAGGGAGAGATGGCATATCCCCTTCACAGCTCCTTTGGAAGTGTCAACCAGCTCCCTGGCAGCACTGGAGTCCTGCCAAGTTCTAACATGAAGACTTGCCTGTAAATTACATGTTCATGAGTGCTGCTGCCTAGATTATTGGTATTAAAATTGGAATTTCAGCAGTTTTGTAAGGATTTTAAGTGTGTTATGATGTGGTAGATGTGATATTGGTCCCCATGGATACTTGGGAATGCTGGATGCAGGACTAGGTTCTGCTTCAGGACTCCTCGGTGTCATAGAAATCATCGTTCTCTCTGTGTAGGTCTCTCTCCTCAGTCTTTTTGGTTTTTTTCCATGTGTTTTCCACCTGGATCATGTATCCCGTGTAGGATGTGTCACAGAGGGCCTGATCCCCACTAGTCCCTGTATTTATTTAGCCTGTAAATAAGACATATAATACTCTCCTTCGTGATTACTGTGAGAAATTCCAAACTGTTCTAGATTTCTCTCAGGGATAATGTTTTATTATTAAAATGATGCTTTGCTGCATATTTTGGTCATCTAATGGTACATTACTCACCAGAGTCTTGTCTCCAATGACACCTCTTGGTCTGGCACAATACAAAGAGCATTTCCTCTAATAAATTGTCTTTATTTTGTATTTTCAAGGTACTGCACAGATGAAAATCAGACATTTCCTCAGCCATTCATGCTGGAGAACCACATCAGCCTCATGCACGGCATCAAAAACCCAGACTTATCCCAGATGGCCAAAGCGAAAGCTCCAGAGAGAGACACGGCAGAAGTAACTGATGTTATTTTTGTGAAAAATAAATGTACAGTTAAATGCACCCACTCAGTAGCTGTTCACTTGGGGTGTTGAGTAGAGCTGCAGCCTTGTGCCAGTCAAACCCTCCCATCCATACGGCAGATTTCCTTGCCCCTCTCTATTCCATCCAGCTCTATTCCATTCCATCTTCCCTCTGGTGGGGTCAGGAGCAGCACTGAGAGCACAGCTGAGCTGTACCAGCACCAGGACAAGGGAGTTTGTATTTTTCGAGATTTTTTTGACTGTGTGGCCCTGTGTTTTACTGACCTTTTTTCAGTCTACTGTGTAATTCAAGTTTGTTATGAACTTTGTGTTCCCCTGCCATCCTGTTCATGAGAATGGCACATTTTTCTTCTTTCTCCCTTGTGTTTTCTGCTAGTTATAAAAGATTTATTTTCTGTTTTAAGATACTTACTAGCTCCGTTACCTATGAGAACTGCATTTCTCCTAAGTAGGACTGTGTAATTTCGTATAGCAAATGTGTGATATCTTAGGTTGGTTTGGAGTGGAGGGTTGGCTGGTAGGGCTTCTTTGCTCCATTTACTTTAAAAATCTACTTTTTGCATGTCACTGCAGGGACATAAGCAAGTGAGCCATCCTCATGGGAGAAGAAGCTGCAGGATTCTAAGACAGAGAGGATGAGTTACTGAGAGATGCCACAAAGGCAAAGCTTGAGTGGAGGGGAAAACTGTTTCAGAGTTAAATTTGAGAAGCATTGTCTGGGCTAATGATGACCCCCATGTTCCTCAGCTGTCCCTGCTCTTGAGGGCTGCTCCTTCCCACACCAAATTGCTACACAGAGAGGTTGTGGCTGCCCCATCCCTGGAAGTGTTCAGGGCCAGGTTGGATGGGGCTTGGAGCAACCTGGTCTAGTGAAAGGTCTATAGCAGGCAGGTAGAACTGGATAGTATTTAAGGTCCCTTCCAACCTAAACCATTCTGCGATTCTGTGATTCTAAACTCTCTTTCCCCATCACTTTTCCGTCCGACCAGTCTCGCACAGCATTCCCATCTTACTTCACAGGACAGCAGTTGAGATCCTGCCCATGGGGTGAGGTGTTTGAGTACTGGTAGGGAATGGAATGCCCCAGGAATCCCTGGGGCACGGCTTCACCCTCAGGTGTCTTCAGACACATGTGCGGATTTTAGCACTTAACTCTTCTGTGCATTCAGACAATGAAGTAACTTTTTAATCTTGATTTTTTTCAGGCAAAATCTCCAAAGAGGATGGCACCAGATGAGCTGGGTCAGGCAGAGACCACTGTGGGTTTGGATGAGCCACCAGCCAAAAAACTGAAAGCACCTTGGAAATGCGCCAAGTGCGGCTTCGCGACGGACACCCGGACTGAGTTCCAGGAACACATACCTCGGCACAAGACTGACAGCTCCACCTTCCAGTGCTTGTTCTGCGGCCTGTGCTACACCTCCTACATCTCTCTGAACAGACACCTCTTCATTGTTCATAAAGTCAAAGATGAGGAGGAGGAGGAGGAAGAAGAGGAGGAGGAAGAGGAAGATGAAAGGCAGAAGTATCAAACGGAGATGAGTGAGAATGGACATGAGAGCTACAATGGAGAGTTGAACACTGTGGCAGAAGAGGAGAACAAATACAAAGAGTGCAAAAGTGACTCAGCTCTTTGTGAGCACAGTCAGACGTGTGGCGCAGAGGGCCCCAACAGCACCTCACAGAACAACCTTAAGTCTCTTAAGACTTAAAAAAAAAAAGCCCTTTTGGTTGGGGTTTTTTGGTTGAGGGGTTTTTACTCAAAATACAGGGTGGGGATTGGGGTGAATCTTTGAAATATTCTGTTGATTTCTTGGGATGGACATTGCTTTCCGTTAACTTCCATTTGTAAGGGAAATCTTAAATCGAAAAAAACCAACTCTGCCATTGCACCCTAAGCACTAACTCTCTGCCAGCCTGGAGAGGTGAAAAGGGAAAGCAGGGCCAGAATCCTCACTGGAGCTTGGCCAACCCCTGAGGATCCAAGAGCACTTTGCAGCTGCAGTTTCCTTCAGACGAGCTCTCCTCCTTCAAGTGTGCACTGCCTCAGCCTCTGCCCAGAGCCCCAGCCTCACCTTCCCTATCTTCCTTTCTTTCTCCTTCTATTTATGGCTTCTTTTTTCTCTTCCCATCCTGCCTTTGTGTTACTCACTTTAACTCATAATGCTGGCTCAGCAAAATGCGTTTGTCAGGACTGTTCTGGTCCAGGATCCATGTCACGGGGGGATGGGTCTGAGCTGTGAGTTGTGCTGGTTATTCTTAATTGCCTGAATAACAACCTGCTTTTCTAAAATGAAATTTAATGAAATCTTGGACCTGAGTCATCCTCAAAGAGGATCTTGTAGCCCCTGTTTTTCTAGGTGAGCACAGTTAAGGAGGGCCTGGTCACCCTCATGTGTCAGTGGAGTTGTGCTGCCCAAAGCCATTCCAGGATGGGTGCTGCCAGGCCTGGTACTCAGTGGCTTGTCCTGATGGGGAGCTGGGGCAGGTTGGCACTATCACCAGAAGGGTGGGATCTGTGGGGTCAACTGGAGTGAAACCATCCTGGAGCTCTTGATGGCATTGGTGCCTGGGCTCTCTGAACAGCTTGTTTTGAGGGGAGAGGAGCAGAGCACGGCTCACAGAGGCATTGGAACCAGTTGGAGCCATCATCCTGCAGCGTCGTGGGGCTGGTGCTCCGGCAGTAGCTCCTCTCCTGCTGTGGCTCTGCATTGCCCATGACTTAGGAGCTATGTTTCTTTCTATGTAGTCACATTGACTCTCTTTCCTCCCTCATTCCCTGTCATACCCACTTGGCTTCATGTAATATAATTACCTTCTATAACATAATTTTTTTCATTTTGTTGAGCCAGAACCCTGCTCGTTATTGTTTACTCTGACAATGTTTAAATAATTTAAGAACTATTTATCTCCTTGCACTGGGCTCGTCACCATCTCATCTTGCCATGTTTGGATAGGGCCTGTTGGGGCTGTCTGGATGTTGGGTGGTTTGGTGGTTGGATGGGTGGGGTTTGAATGGGGAGTGTTGGTAGAATGGGCAATGATGGAATGGGCCATTGGTTGGATGGAGGGTTGTTTAGACAGGGTGTTGGTTAGATGGGATGTTGGGTGTGTAGGGGTCAGTTGGATGTGTGTGTCGGATGTATGGGTGTCAGATGGCCGTCGGTTGGAGTTTCACTGGGTGCTGATTGGAGTGTTCATTAGATGGGGTGTTCATTAGATGGGACGGTGGTTGGATGGGCCATCGATTGAATGGGCTGTTGGATGTGTGGTGTGCGTTGGATGGGGATACATTGGATGAGTGTTGGTTGAGTGTGCATTGCCTGGGGTGTTGAGTGGGATGTCAGTTGGATGTGGGGTGTCAATTGGATGGGTGGCAGTTGGGTGGGTGTACGTTGGACGGAGCGTTGGTTGGGCGGTGCGTCTGATGTGGGGTGGATGTTGGATGGGGTGTAGGTTGGGTGAGGTGTCAGGTGGGGTGTTGGTTGGATAGGGTGTTTTAGCTATGGCGTGTAGGTTGGATGGGGGTGTTAGGTGGGATGTTTTATTGGATGTGGGGTGCATATAGGATGGGCTTTCGGGTGGAGTATTGGTTCACTGGGGTGTCGGTTGAGTGGGGTGTTGGTTCCTGGGCTGTCGGTTGCATGTGGGGTGTACGTTGGGGTGTTGGTTGGACGCGGTGTTGGATGGGGTCTTTCACTGGCGGTGGGGTGTCGGTGAGCCCCGGGACGCGTCCCCGGTGCCCTCCGCAGAGCTGGGGATGGGGAGCACCCCCGGAGCCCCCCTGCCGCCCCCGGCCCCGCGCGGCGGAAGCGGCGGTGACGTGCCGGAAGCGGAAGCGGGGCTGGCCGGGCGGGAGGCGGTGGTGGCGATGCTGTCGCTGGACTTTCTGGACGATGTTCGGCGCATGAACAAGCGGCAGGTGCCGGGCGGGATGGGGGGCCGTGGGGCTGGGGCGGGCCGGTGCGCCCTGCCCTGCGCGGACGGCGGAGCCTGACCAACACACCTCCCCCTCCCCAGTTGTACTACCAGGTGCTGAACTTCGGCATGATCGTGTCCTCCGCCCTCATGATCTGGAAGGGGCTGATGGTGGTGACGGGCAGCGAGAGCCCCATCGTGGTGGTGCTGAGGTCAGTCCGGGGGGTGTGGGGGGTTAAACCTCCCACGGGGTCGGGTCCCCGACGGGGGTTCCTTGCGGGGATGGGGCAGCTGGAGGCTCCTGCCCCGGGCCCGGCGGGCGAGAGGCTCAGTGAGAATCCAGGCTCAGGCATAGCGAGGGAAGAGGAAGTGGGTAAAAACAGCATCTCGCCCCCTGCTCTGGCAGCTGACTGGGCTAGGTTTAAGGGGGCTTGTGAAAAAAGAAAGAGAGGGACTTTATGAACAGGCAGGTAGGGACAGGACAAGGGGGAATGGCCTCCCACTGACACAGGCAGGGTTACATGGGATACTGGGAAGAAATCCTTCCCTGTGAGGGTGGTGAGGCTCTGGAACAGGTTGACCAGAGAAGCTGTGGCTGTCCCATTCTTGGAAGTGTTTAGGGACAGGTTGGATGGGGATTGGAGCAGTCTGGTCTAGTGGAAGGTCTCTCTGCCCACAGTAGGGGCTGGAACTGGATGGGTTTTAAGACCCACTATAATCCCTTCTGGGATTCTGTAGTTCTGTGACTGTCCACTACAGAGGTGGTCCTGAGTATCAAGGATATCGCTGTCACTGGACGTTTTGGGTGTCAGATGTTGCCCTCGCAGCAGCACCATGCAGTGGGTACTACCAGGGCTGGTACCACTGATGTTACTCCCACCCTTCTGCTGCCTCGGACGAATTCTCTGAGCTTCCATTGGATGTTGGCACAGACACAGTTCTGCGTCCACACTGGCCTTTCTCGGTGTTTCTGTTTGATGTTCATGATGTAGAAATGATGTAATGCCACGACCACGTGGCGCTTACCAAAACTCCCCCCTTGATGCAAAGCATAAGGTAGATGTTTCCTGCCGTTCCTCCCAGTGAGTAAGATGGGGGGCCTTGAGGTCACATCCCCTCTTCAGCGATGTGATCTGCTGTTCTGAAGAGCAGCTGCTGCTCAGTCTCCAGATAAAACATGAATATATGTGGTACTTAAAGTTCATCCTTCTGTTTTGCATTATTTATGTGGAATTAGGAACGATAAGTAGTTGGTAACAAGTGCCATTTACAAGACACGAGAAAAATAACTTGAGTCAAGGTGCCTGAAATGAGATCATTAAGCAAAGCAATGAATCACAATAATGAATTTTTCTCACACCCATCTGTTTCAGATGGGAATTCAAGAGTCGTGTTTTCAGTGCTTTGTTCCTGAGGACAATCAATCTACTTGTAAAAAATTAAATGAAATAAAAAAGCTTGCAGCACTGCCAGTGTTGCCCTGCCAGTGTTGAGCTCAGAAATCAAAAGATACTGTTTGTCATCAGCTTTTTGCTTATTCACAAAGTTTTTCCTATTGGATATGCTTGTAACACCAGTGCTGGCAGTTCTCTTCTTCCGAAAAATCCAAACTGCTGGTAGTGTGGTGATTGAAAACCTGATTGCAATAGAGGTTACACACATGCCTGGTCACAAAGGGGCTTTTCTTGGGAGCTCTTCATCAAGGTTCCAACCTGGCCTTGAATGCTTCCAGGAAAGGGTCATCCACAGCTTTTCTTCTCATTGAGGTTCTTTGAGATTTCTCTTAAAGGACTACAAACTCCGAAATCTGATTCTGAGTGTTTAAATATTGTTCAGTTGCTCTTCTCTCTTTCAGTGGGAGCATGGAGCCTGCATTCCACAGAGGAGATCTCCTGTTCCTCACGAACCGAATTGAAGATCCAATCAGAGTGGGAGAAATTGTCGTCTTTAGGATAGAAGGAAGGGAAATTCCTATAGTCCATCGCGTCCTGAAAATCCACGAGAAGTATGTTAAGGATCTGGGGGGGTTCTACTGCTGCTATTTACCTAAATGATATTATTCCTCAAGTCCTTGGGTTGATGAGTGGCTAGGATGTCAATAATTGATATCCAGGTGCTGTGGGAAGTAAAACAGAATTTTCAGAGAAACAAAATCTGCCCTCCTTGGTTTACTTGGAAATATCATTCAGTAGAAAGCACAAGCTGGGGGGTCTGTGCCAGTGTCCTGGACTCCCTAGGCTGTGAAATCACAGAATGGTTTGGGTTGAAAGGGACTTTAAAGCTCATCTCATTCCATTCCACTACCATGGGGGGGTCGCCTTCCACTAGACCAGGTTGCTCCAAGCCCCACCCAACCTGGCCTTCAACACTTCCAGGGATGGGGCAGCCACAGCTTCTCTGGCCAGCCCGTGCCAGGGCCTCACCATCCTCACAGGGAAGAATTTCTTCCCAGTATCCCATCTAACTCTGCCCTGTGGCAGTGGGAAGCCATTCCTCCTTGTCTTGGCACTCCAGGCCCTTTTCCAAAGTCCATCTCCAGCTCTCTTGGAGCTCTTTAGGCACTGGAAGGCTGACACCTCTTACTGTGTCCTGTGCCATCCTTTCCACCCCGAGCCACTGTGCTGTGCTGTCTCACATAGTACAGCTGCATTTGTGTGTGTGAAGTGACCCTTGTTTATAGAGGCAGAGCTGTGTCAGGGAGTATTTTGTGTGTAGAATGTGATATTTTAGAGCTTGTCTATGGTCCTGGTTCCTGCTGTTCTGCAGAGGGTGTGCATTTCATCCCCATAGGAAGTTGTGTGTTGTTATGCTCGGAGTCTTCTGTGTACTGTTCAGTCTCTCAGCACTGGGCAGGTTGTGTGTGTGAAGGAATTGAGTCTGGTTTGGTGGCTGACCAGTTGTCTGGCCCAACTCAAGGTCAACCAGCTTCGTGCACAGAAATAGTGCAGCTGGAATCCTGGTTCTGACAGAGCTGCACCTCTCCCAAGAGGCAGAGCAGATTCTTTGCTGTTAAGATTTATTCTGTACCCAAAACTTTGAACAATGTCAGCTTTCAAAGTGCCATTCTTTGAGACCACTAATTTAAAAAGAAGTTCAGTTTACAGGGTGAATTTGATACCTAATGTTGCACATGCACTTTTTGTGATGTTGTGGGTACTCTTTTAAGTGAAATACAACTTTTCTCCTCCCTTGTTCTGTCCAGCAGTTCCTCTCCAGATGTAACCCACCCTTCTTTTTTGCCTAGCTCTATGTCTAGATACTAAGGTACCCAGCACTATATTTTGTTTAAATGTAATGTGACCTTAGTGCCACTCCTGGATTCTGTGAGGTGAAGCTGTTCTCCAGTATTTTAGGTTTCATTTAACTAAAACAACCAAACACAAACCTGATCTTTATGTTAGGAGGGAGAAACTGAAAAAATCCATATTGTGACCTGAAGGCAGGACTTGGATGTCAGCTGCTTCTTTCACTACATAAGTATTAGTTTTCTGGTGCCAATTTAGAAGTGAAAGGTCTCTGCAGAAGCTGATAGAGGTGTCAAAATGCAGGAAAACAGAAACAGGTTTTCCATGATTATGTGGTAACTTAGGCCCCAGTTCACATCAGTATTGTGTCAGTGAGAAAGTGTCTGTTATTTGCTGGCCTGTTTTTCTTGTTTCAACCCAAAATTGGGTTCATTCTTTATCACTAACAAAGAGTCTGTGGTCAAAATTTACTTAGTGGGTTTGGAGCAGGACAGCGAGACCAGTCTTCACTCAGCTCTCAGACAGCAGAGAGCTGTGCTTGGGGCTTCTCACACCGCGTCCTGATAGAGCCTTGACTGTGCTCAATAAGGTGCTGTGCTCCTGTGTCATCACTCTTCAGAGCTAAACTACATTACCTGCACCTTTGGGGATCTTTATCTTTTCCCAGGCTGTCTCTAAGCTCCTGGAGTGTTTGTTGTTCCCACATGTCAAGCCAGATGTGCATTGGAGAAAAGGCTATTCTTTTTCCTACCCTGTTTTTAACTTCCGAGCTTCTCCTGTCAAGGAACACATGTTGGTATTCAGGCATGATGAAAACAGCATGAGCTCCAGAGACCTTCTGTGTGCTTTCCTGTGCTGCATTTGATGTGTTTCTGTGAGAAAGCTGAGATCCAAACACTGAGAACGCTCGTGCTCAGCACCTGCCTGCAGGTGCCACAGGGAGGTGAGAGTGCCTGGCTGATCCCTGAGTAGTGGCACAAGCTGAATGGGAATGGCTGGGGAAGGATCTTTCCAGGTCAAAGCAAAGGTTCGTCTGCTCCAGGATCCTGTTTCTGGCAAGCTAATTAGTTCATCTCAGGATGAATTAAAGAGTATTTAGTGATAATTTCCCTGCTTTCTGTAAGTTCCAAGTTCAAGCACAAAATCCCGGTTCTTTATGAATAGCTTCCTTTTCTTTTTTCCATGGAGTATCTGGTCACCTTTTGAATCAATATGATTTTTTAGCAACCAAAATACCCTTGCTGAGAGACATGGTTTAGTTTCTGCTGTGGCTAGTTCTGTATAGCACCTTCTCTGTCTGGTTTTAACCCCTTACCTCTTGAGTTCTTTTTGGTTCCCTCTGGGTCTTGCATTGGAAGAGAAAGAGAAAAGTTTTTTTATTGTTGTATGTCATTTGTGTTGGACTGCATCATATCTCCCATCAGCTCTGCCTTTTCCAGGCTGAAGGTCTTTTGCTTCTTGTGTGGAAGTGGTTCCAGACCTTGTTATCCATTTCTGAACCTTTGCCAGTTCTTCCCTCCAATTGCAGAAAACGATGTAGGGGGTTCAGCATTTCCCAGAGCATTCCACCTGTAGGCACACCATGAGTTCATGTAGTATCATCATGGTATGATTTGGTTTTTTCCATCCTCCTTTCCTAATAATTTCCAAGTTTCAGCTTGCTTCTGCCCACTGCTGAGTAGAACTGTGTGCTTCAACCCCAGGCTCTCCTTTTAGGTGGTATAGGGAGTCCAGAACATTCGTGTGAAACAAGAAAAGCATCAGCACGAGAGAGGTCAAAAGCCAGGAGGCAATAGCTGCACCTGTGCTGGAAGTGCCTCATCCTGCTGGTTCTGTTCTTAAACTCTGCTGGAAAGCTTGGCTGGGGCCAAAATTCATTCTTTCCTTGGCAGTTTTTTTCCAAACCATCTGCTTTCTGCTGCATTTGATGGGAGCTTCCCTGTTTCATCCTGCTCAAATTGTAGGACACAGTTGCTTCGAGTGCCCTTGTGTTGGTCTCTTCACGCTTGTTCTGGAACAGCTTTTAAGGAGCTCCTTCCCTACCTTACCTGCTTGTCATGTCTTTGCCAGGCAAAACGGTGACATCAAATTTCTGACAAAGGGAGACAACAACGCTGTGGATGACAGAGGGCTCTACAAGCGGGGGCAGCACTGGCTGGAGAAGAAGGATGTAGTAGGACGAGCGAGAGGGTGAGTGAAGTTGAAAGTGATGTGGCTTTGTACACAGCCCTCCCTGAAGCCATCTGGGAATTCCCTCTTCTCTTGAGCTCTCCCTGCTGGGTTTTGTGACTTGTCTGAAAGCATGGAGAGCTCAAAAGCACAGGCACTTCAGTTCTGAGCTTGGCTTAAGGGGAGGTATCAAGCTGTGAGCTGCATCCTGAGATGGTGATGCTGGATGGACATGAGTGCAAGAGCTGTGAGTGCTCAGGCTCGATCAGAATTGCCATCAAATTCATTCTATGAGGCTTAGCCTTTGTAAGAAAGTAAGATCTTAGCCAAGCAGAGGCTGAAACACTCTCTGGGCCTCCCACTCAGCCCCACTGCCACAGCTGCCCTGCCTGGGAGGACGAAATCCCCAGCCTGTTGACTACAGCATGACTCTTCTGCAGCCTGGAATAGTGTTTGTTTTAAGAAAACCTTTATTCTTGTAGATTTGTGCCATATATTGGAATAGTGACTATCTTAATGAATGATTATCCAAAATTTAAGGTAAGAGCTCTTTCATTTCCTACCTGCTTTTCCTACCCCAGCTAAAATCGCTTCCTGAGAACACAGGCAGAACCCTGTGTCCTGCATGTTTGCTGCTGTAGATGTGAGTGTGTGCTCCTGAGTCTCCTCTGCTCTCTCTTCCAGTATGCAGTCCTCTTTTTACTGGGTTTGTTTGTGCTGGTGCATCGAGAGTAGCCCCTTGCACTGAACTGCAAGGTGAAGGTGCCATGGATTTTTCTAGATGAACATTTTAAGTAGCTGATTGTCCGAAGTGCCAGGAGGAAGAAGAAAACCTGCATTTCAAAGCTTCTTGCCAGTTTGGGTTTGTTTTGGTTTTTACTGCGTAAGGGCGAATGTTTGTCACAATATTTCCAGTGGTTTGTCACACTTTAGCCTTTTTAGTGAATTTTTATATTAAAAATTTCAGCCAAACTGTTTAGTGTTTTTGTACTTTGAAGCTGAGCTTCCTCTCCAAGTGCCTCCACAACCATGTCCTCAGTCTGTGCCTCACTGGGCCAGGTGCCCTCTCCCTGTGCTGTCTAATGGTGAACTGTGGCCGTGATGGTTTTTTGCCAATTCGGAACTGGAATAAAGATTTTTCCTCTCGCCCGTTATGAGCCCTGCCACATTCTTTGTTACTGCCCTGCTGGGAGCAGCCTCCTTGCCCAGTGTCTCGGGGGTACCTGGGCTTTGCTGTTGCAGGCTAACTCCTAGAGCCACCATCTAACTTGTCCTCTCTTCACAGAGCAATAGCAGCTGCTCCTTTCATCTCTTTTGCTGTAGATCTGTTCAATATTTCTGTGTTTCTGTAAAACACAATGGAATAATCTGCTTAAAGAGTGCAAGGTATTTGGGGCAGAGGATGACAAAGTATTACTTCATGCATTGTGGCATTAGGTAACAGAAGGACTGCGATGGCAAATACCCACAGCTGTTTGTCAGGGATGATTTAGCACAAAGCAATAAGAAAAATTGCTTAGTTTTGGAACAGGGTTTCAGATCTCTGGCACTCCCTGCAGTTGGCCAAGTCTAACAGCTCTCCTGAAAGCTACAGACTGCCCTAAGGTCTGATTTTAAAAACCCACTTGTCACCACGTGCAACAGCTGGTTTTGTGGGCTTCTCATTCAGGCTCGTGATCCTGCTGCTGCAGATGTGGTGTTAGAGAGAGCCCAGGGAAAAGGTACAAGGTAACTGTAGTTATCAGCTCTTCACGCTCCAAGATTCCACAGCAACAGGGATCAGTGCAGATAGTCACTGCTGCCACTCACATGGCTTGTGTAAGGCAAAAGCAGTCAGGAAAGGCAAAGACAAAACCCAGTGGGGTGTTAATGGCTGTTTCCATTTTCTTGCATTTGTCCCTCATTGGGTTTGTCAGGCCTGTCCTCTCTCTGGAGTTGAATTGTTCCATTAGTTATTAGGAAATGCTGGCTTTGGCATTACCTGGTGCTTTGTTTCCCGAGTAGGATAAAGCAAAAAATCACCTGTGGGACTCTTACAAAGAGTCTACAAACAGGTCCAGCCCCCAGCACTGAACTGGGGCTGTGGCTATAAGTAATTGTAACTTAGTAATAAAAATGGTAATAAAACCTGTATTTCTTGCTCCCCGTGTTAGAGCCCTTGAGAGAAGGATATGGATACAGTTTCATACCTGTTCAGCTTGAACAGGTTTTGTGCATAAATGAGATTTTAAGTTGTGCTCACACAAAGTGCTGAGGAGTTCATCTGAAAGCTGCTAATCAACACCTCGCTGGAAGTGCTGCTGCTGCTGCTCCTCTCGAGTCCCCTCCACTTCACACCTTCTCCAAACATCTGAGTATGCAGAAGCAGTTGTGTTCCTGTCACTGAGTTAATGTTACAAAAAAAGGATTTATGATTATGGAGTAAGGATTAGCTCTTCAACTGCTGAGCTGCCAGTTTTTAGCAAGATGACCATGGCTGGTGTCAGGAGTCCCTGTGGCTGGAGGACACACTCGTGGCCAATGTGGGTGCCAACCCCTGTGAGGGCTCTTGTAGGAGGGTGTGCCCTGCCCATGCATGATGCTGTATGAAAGAATTGACTAGAAAGTGCTTAAAAAATGCAGTCTGGTTGAGGTGGGTGTGGGCTGGAGCCCACTGCAGCCCAGCTTTGGGACTTCTCTCTTCGGGGTCTGTAGGTACTTGAACAGAAACAATTGCCCTAAACTGGGGGCTGTACTGTGGGATTTGGGAATTCATCTCTGCAGCCTGTGCTCTGCCTGTTTTCAGCTCAGTGCAGTTCTGTTACCTGTGGCAGTGAAGTGAGGTGCCGGCTCTAATTATGATAAACGAGCAGTCAATCCCCTCACAGCTCCAGCACCCACCACCTCCCACATCCCTGCAACGCCTTTCTGCCACAGTGGGATGAGAGGGGGCTGAGGATGTGGGGGCAGGATGACACAGAGTTGTTGCTGGCTCTTCCCTACCAGGTTTATTCTGCTTTGCTGAACAGAAAAACCATGGAGCAAGCAGGATCTCCAGCCGGCTGGGTGCTGATGTTGAGCTGTTTGGGAGTACTGCTGAGCTTCCACAGAGCCAGGGCATTTCCTGGTAGAATTTGATGTGTCTTCATGTTCTATTTTAGTATTATTCTTACTCTTTTTAAAGGTGAAGCTCTTTGGGCAACTCCAGTAAAGCCTGTGACACTGGAGGCTTTAGAAATGGATGGAGATCTTTGTGACCACAGGAATGGGATTTGCTTGTAAACTACATGGGTGTTGAAAGGGCTGGTTTATAAAGGAGAAGAGAAATTCAGACAAAATCTGCTAGGGCTGAGATTGCTCCTGTCTCTGTTGTGGTTACAGCCAAACAGGGCAGGTTTTCTGGTAGCAATTCTAATGTTTAATTAGTGTTCGGTACATCTGCAGTTCAGGGCATGGATTTCTTCATGGGCAGGAGCTGTTTCGTGGAGCAAAGCCAGGCTGGGCTGTGCCTGATCTCTGCTGGAATTCTGTTGGGTAATTTTTTTTCATATCAAAGCTACATGCAGAAGCAAGAGCATGGTGGCTGTGAGTTGAGCTGTGAGGGATTATGTGCTGCAAGCTGAAGGTCTAGGAGACAGAGGCTGTTTTTGTATATTTACGATGCTTGAACTCACAGTTGTTGGTTAAACAGCAACAAGCATGAGGTGGTTCATCCAGATTTGTCTCTGCATGTTGCTTAGCAGAAATTTACAGGGCTCAGATTTGTAAGATCATCAGAGACTGGATAATCTCGTGATTTTCCTGTCCTCAAAATCAGAACAGGTCAGCTGTAGTTTTTCTGAGAATCTCTGAGGTGAAACCTTGTCCGTGCATGGTTTGAACAGAACTTTCTGCTGGAGAAATGCACAGTGCAAACCAAGCGTGCAGCTCCCAGAACGTACCAAGAGTTGGCCAGGAGAAGGAGAGAAGGAGAAAAAGGAGAAGAAGAGAGGAGAGGTGGCTTAGGCGGAGCACGTCCCTTGGGGACCCTCCTGTGCCAGAGCAGGGGGAATGCACAGCAGCTGTTTCTATGGCCCTGCTGCAGCCCCACCCGGTGTCAATGACTCAGTGCCTGAATCAGATGAGGAATGCCCTGTTTTCATCCTCCAGAAGCAAGGAGTACCAGGGTGATGCCAGAGAGGCTTAGTGTCAGCAGCTCAGGGTGGCAGTTGATGCCTGGTGGGTGACTGAGCCCCACAGTCTCATTGCTGGGAGGAGAGAAACAGCACCCACATTGCCTTTTGAGCCAATTCAACAGCTCCCTGCCCCTTTTACCTTCTCCATCCCTTGTAATACTTCTGTTCCTTTGTCATCTCACCTGTCAGGAGCCACAGGTCTCTGCAGGGATAGATTCACCAGCCTGAGCATGTTGGATTCAGAAGGGGTACAGTGGCTTTCCTGAGAAATCTGCCTTGTTGGATCTATTTCACCATAATTGGGTGCCCGTGCTGTTCATAGTCTGCCCAATAGCAATTGTTTGCTTATCCTTGTTTATCCCTCAGTTGCTGTAAAAAACCACCAGCTCCATCACACATAGTCCTGTTTCCCTGTGGAGCAGGACCTGCCTGCATGCTGGTTCTTGCTGGTTGAGCACATTGTGTGTTAAATCTGTTCCTGCTCATGGGGAAATTCCTACATATGTTCAGTTCTAGCAGGTCCTCTGAATGCCTGATCTTACAGGGCTCCCTAAACCTTGGGGGGAATCAACATCTTCACAGAGAAGAACAGACTAACTAGGGATGGACTAGAAACCCACCCTCTGTATCCAGGACATCTGTTATCCAGGAGCAGACACACCCTCAGTCTCTTGATCCCTCTGCCTAGCTCCTCTTCTTTTGGCTATTTTTGCTCCTTTTGTTTAATAATTTAAAAACTCTTCCTGCAGCTCTCTCTAACAAACATCTCGGTATCACCTTTTCCAAACTGTCCTTCCCCTGTAGAAACTGAGCTGAGAGACTGAAGTAAAAATAATATGGAGAAAACTTCTCTGAAGCTCAATTCACTCGAACTGGGATGTCAGATTTCTGCTGTGTAATTCTGGCTGGATCACTTCTGAGCTGGGCCTGGATTTGCCTGCAAGAAAACACGATTTTCTTGTCTGAGTCTTCTTGCAGAGCAGTTATTTGTAATATGTCCAGAAGGCGTGGAGTGAGTGGGAAACCTCAGGGAAAACCACAACTCATTTACAGCTTAAATGAAAATTGAAAATGAGTTGAAAACAAGATGTGTGAGATTTCAAATTTTATCTTTTATAAACAACATCTATTGCCTGTGGACGAATGGATGTAACAGAGGGATTTAATCTTTGTAAACAAGAGGAAAATGCATCAAAATAGACCCCCAGGCATGTGTCAGGACCTGGCTTTGGAAATGTGGTGAAGAGCCTGAAACAACTTAACTGCTGCTAAGAGTTTTATTGGCACCAGGAGCTTCGTGAAGGAGACAAATAGGGGGATTTGAGGCCTTTGCCCTTTGTATTGCTTTTTATTAGAGCCATCAGTTTTGAGCACACATTTGCCTGCCCAGGTGGGTATTTGCAGGGCCTGGGAAGCCTGCATTGAGTTCTAGAGCTCCACAGCTCAGAGTCTGTTCCAGGCCACCCAGACACCTTTATGGGAAATGCAGAGTCAATGCCAAGGTACAAAAGCACGGAATTACACAATGGTTTTGGTTAGAAGGGACCTTAAAGCCCATCTCATTCCACTCCCTGCTGAGGACAGGGACACCTTCCACTATCCCAGGTTTTTCCAAGCCCTGTCCAACCTGGCCTTCATCACTTCCAGGGATGGGGCAACCAAAGCTTCTCTGGCTAGCCTGTGCCAGGGCCTCTCCACCCTCACACCCAATAATTCCTTCCCAGTATCCCATCTAAATCTGCCCTGTGGCAATGGGAAGCCATTTCCCCTTTTCCTGTCCCTCCATCCTTTGTCCAAAGTGCCTCTCCAGCTCTCCTGGAGCCCATTTAGGCACTGGAAGGGGCTCTTAGGTCTCCCTGGAGCTTCTCTTCTCCAGGTGAACACCCCCAGCTCTCCTAGCCTGGCTCCAGAGCAGAGGTGCTCCATCCCTCAGAGCATCTCTGTGGCCATATCTGGACTTGCTCCAACAGGTTCCTGTCTGCCCTGTGCTGAGGA